CCATCTTCTGCTGCTTTCCCAGGTGCATTAGCCGGGAGCTGGATGGGTAGTGGAGCAGCCAGGACTTGAACTGTTGCTCATAGGGGCGACCACTTAACCCACTGTGCGACAACAGCCCCCACCCCATGCATTTTTGAGAAGCTGTTTGTGTGTATCTTTGTAAATCAAACCCATGCATAAATGTACAGGCAAGCTTGGATCAAGGGTTGGGTTGCTAATCTGAGGTCTTTATTTTAGCAAAAAGTTATCTCCTTCGAAGACTGGTAATACAGCTCTGCCTGGGAACTGGTTTGTGCTTATCTTTGTTTTTCTCACACTGAACATCAGTTTGGTTATTGCAGGAATGGTGCTGCACAAGATTGCAAGCTGAGCTCTGGCTCCCCCTTCTGGACATGTGATGGAATCACTGACCCAAAGGAATCCCTTAAGATTCTCTGGTACCTTAGACAATCTTATAGCTGTCAATAAGACAGCTAAAAGATTAATATAATATAATTAATATATGTTAATATAATAGAAGACAATCTTATATGCTGGGCAAGCTCCTTGGAAAGGTGGGACCACGAGAGACTTTCTAGAAGATCTGGAACCTGATGTTCGTCTTGAAAGATGTTGACAGTTTTTTAACAGCAAGATTTTTTTTTTTTTTTTGGTTTAGAAAAGTTTTTGTTTTATTTTTAAGATTTATTTATTTGAAAGGCTGAGAGGCCGGCGCTGTGGCACAACAGGTTAAAGCCTCAGCCTGCAGTGCTGGCATCCCATATAGGTGCCGGTTTGAGTCCTGGCTGCTCCACTTCCGATCCAGTTCTCTGCTATGGCCTGGGAAAGCAGCAGAAGATGGCCCAAGTCCTCGGGCCCCTGCACCCACATGGGAGACCCAGAAGCTCCTGGTTCCTGGCTTTGGATTGGCACAGCTCCGACCATTGTGGTCATCTGGGGAGTGAATCATCGGGTGGAAGACTTCTCTCTCTCTCTCTGCCTCTCCTTCTCTCTCTGTGTAACTCTTTCAAATAAATAAATAGATTTGTTTATTTATTTTGACAGGCAGAGTGGACAGTGAGAGAGAGAGAGACAGAGAGAAAGGTCTTCCTTTACCGTTGGTTTTCCCCCCAATGGTCACTGCGGTCGGTGCGCTGCAGCTGGTACACCGTGCTGATCCGAAGCCAGGAGCCAGGTGCTTCTCCTGGTCTCCCATGTGGGTGCAGGGCCCAAGGACTTGGGCCATCCTCCACTGCACTCCCTGGCCACAGCAGAGAGCTGGCCTGGAAGAGGGACAACCGGGACAGAATCCGGCACCCTGACCGAGACTACAACCCGGTGTGC